AAATAGGACCATGAAGGTTGTGGACATCATGCACCCCAATAATCGGAGACACGTCCGAACCGTGGAAAAAGGAATATTCTTGACCCCCACAAATGAGGTCGCAGACTGCCTTGAATCTTTGGGCTCATCTAGACTACACAGAAGATTCGAAAGTGAAAGTCATCAAGACGGGACAGGCGTTTTGGCCGAAACCCCTCCCTTTTTCGAAAAGCTGCTTTTCCTCAAAAATGAGGTTTACGCGGCTTTTCAAAAAAGGAGGGGTTGCCAAAAATGCGTCTTGATTACTTTCAGTTTTGAAAGTGATATCGACGATATGCAAATTCCCAGGGAATTTGCATATCGTCTTTCGACTCTTCTGTGTAGTCTAGATGAGCCCTTTGTGGTGGCAGGTAGGCTCTTTGTGGTGGCAGGTATGTGAGCTCTATGGTGGACTTTTGTATATTGATAAGCAGGCCAAGTCGGGAAAAACATTCCCTGGTAGCGGTTGTCATTGTTATGGTTTGTTGACAAGTGAAGCCCTTGATGAGACAATTGTCAAGGTAAGGCAAGATGGTGACTTTCTATCTTCTGAGGAAGGCTGTGACTATGGCTAGCATCTTTGACAACACTTGAGGGGCCATAGAAAGACCAAAGGGAAGGACCCTGTATTGATAATGGTCTTGACCTACGACAAATCTAAGAAATCTCCTGTGGGCAGGGTGGATGGTTACATGAAAACATGAGTCTTGAAGGTCGAGGGCTGAGAACCAATCACCTTTGTCCAGTATAGGTATGATAGTTGCCAGAGTCACCATCCTGAATTTCGTGTTGAGGATGAACTTATTGAATTTCCTGAAATCCAGGATTGGTCTCCATCTGCCTGTTTTTTTGACTGTTAGGATATAGTTGGAGTAGAACCCTCTCCCTCGATATTCTGTGGGAACAGGTTCTATTGTCCCTAGGGTGAGTAACTTTTGCACCTCCGCTTGTAGCAGAGGCTCCTGAGATGGGTCCCTGAAGAGGGACAGAGTAGGAGGTTGGGTAGGCAGCATGGGTATGATGGTGACTGTGTAACCCAATTTGATAATTTCCAGGACCCACTGGTCTGCAGTGATGTGGGGACATTCTCGGTAGAAGGGTGTTAAGTGGTGGTGGAGGAAAGTGGCATTGGGATGCACTGGAACTATGGGGTGGTCGCTCAGGCCCCCGACCAAGACTTCAAATTTGTTGTTTGTGTAAAGTTGATGGAGTGGTGGTGGACTGATTTTGTGGTGTTCTCCTCCTGTTAGTGTGTTGCTTAGGCCTGTTATCATATGGCCTTTGGTGTTGCCTGTAGTAGTTATAATCAAGGCTCGACAAATCCACTTATCTACTCTCCTGGGTGAGTAGATTTCAGCCAGTTGCCCCGTTCACCGGCGGTTCGCGCATGCGCAGTGAGGGGCTGGCAAGTGGTTTTTGCCGCAGTTTGTCGAGCCCTGGTTATAATTATAGCCCCTTGGCCTGTGGTAGGGGGTGTACTTGTGTTTCTTATTAGGTGGGGTGTACATCTCCAGAGTAAGGAATGTGGTGAGTGTGTCCATAATTGAGTGTAGGACCTCGTCCGTCTTAGTGGCGAATAGCTGTTTTCTATCAAAGGGGAGATCCTCCACCTTCGATTGCAATTCTTTTGGAACCCCTGATGACTGCAGCCATGAGGTCCTACGCATTACAATGGCTGTGGCAGTGGCTCTAGTCGTGGCTCTAGCCACAGTGTCAGCGACATCCATTGTGGCCCAAGGGGCCATTTTTGCTATAGATAAACCCTCCTTAATGATGGACTGGAGGTGCGGCCTTTTAACATCAGGAAGGTCCTGCAGCAGGTCCTGTAGTCTGGCATAGTTGGCATGATCTTAGCTGGCCAGGAGGGCTGTATAATTTGATGTCTTGAATTGAAGGTGGCAGAAAAGTACACCTTGCGGCCAAAGGTGTCTAGCCGCTTATGCTCTTTGTCGCAGGGTATAAACTTAAATTATGGGTTCATAGCCTTGCGATTAACCGAGTCTACAACCAGTGAGTTCGGGTGGGTGGGAAGAAGATAGCTTCTTCATGGTAGGAAGATGGTTGTGCGCGAAGAGGAAGTCCATATCTTTTGTAAGGACAAATTATTTTCTATCCACCAGGAGGTTTGTGGGGGGAATAGAGTCTGGGGTTTGCCACAGCGCATCTGATGGTTCCAGGATAGCTTCGTTGATGGTGAGACCTATCTTCAAAAATGCCATGGGCTGTAGTATCATCAGTCATTTGTATTGTTTGTCTTGCACCTCTTGGAGTGTAATGTCTTGTGATTGACCTACCCACTTAAATAATTCTTGAAATTGTTTTAGATCATCTGCCAGTGGAGAGGACAATATCTGGAAGACTGCCTAGTCTAGTTGAGTGGATCTGGGGTTGTGTGGGGAACTCAGTCCAAATGAGGTAAGTTATCATTTTCATTGCTTGTGTTATTACTGAGGGTGGGTGAGATAGCGAGGAATGCGCAGATATGGTTGGAGAGCACCTAGAAATGTATATTGCTGTGATGTAGAAGCTGTATCGCAAGTGGTATGCATGGGAGAAACGTGGCTTATACCCTTGCCATGGTTCTCAGGAATCCCACTGAGGCCAGAACTATTGAGGAGGATACATCCATGGAAAGAATGATTTTGATATGAATACCAGGAAGCCACTGACCCGGACAGAGATGAATGGCATGATGAAAATCTGCTCCTATGCCCACTACCATGGTCAGCATAGGAGTGTGGGATGCCCTTTCTGGCATATGAGTGTGCCCCTGGGTATAAGACACCACTGAGGAGTGTGGTAAGTAAGCTCCTGATCTGAACAGTGTGCCTGGGTAAGAAGATTTTTTAAGTGCCACGTCTTGCACAGTGCTTTCTTATGCTGCGGTGCTGGAGCACGGTCAAGTTTGGTCTGACCAGCTTGCTCAGGCACTATAGAGGTGCTTGTAGGAGCTGGTGGTGGTCGCATATGCGGCTTCATGAGTGCCACTGCCTCAGCAGCACCAACCGGTGCAGTGCACTTGGGTTCTGACTCAGCTCTTCTGGCTGGTGCAGACCTGGTTTCTCTGCAGTGCCAGAGACTGATGGCACCGGGGAACAAGAGGCTCTGGGCAGTGCTGGTAATGAGTCTGCCAGGGAAACCAGTGAGGCTTGTGAGCCTTTGTGTGATGGTAATGCAGCCCTGTCAGTAGGCTTCTCCTGTCCCGTGTCCCCTCAGGTTTCTCCTGTGGAGGTTATAGGGACTTTCCCAGAGGAGGTTTTGAGCCCCATTTCATGGTCTTTTCTGGCTCTGGCTGTCATGTTCTGAAAGTATGGGCATTTATGTGCTGCATGAGACTCTCCCAGGCATTTAACACAGTAGGCATGGCCATCAGAAACAGGCAGGGCTCAACAAATAATACAATCTACTTGCCGATGGCGAGCAGATTGTAATCCAGAAGAGCCGGGTTCGGGCGATCTGCGCATGCGCAGAACGCCGGACAGCGTGGCTGGCAAGTGGGGCTCGCCGCGATTAGGCAAGCCCTGAAAATAGGCATCAAGTCTCAGCATGAGTTGCATCTTTTAAAGCCGGGGAAACCCGGAATATGGAAGGAAAAAAAACCTCCGACAGCACTTGTCCTTTTTTTTTTTTCTTTTCTGTATACTGAACATTAAAACTAACTATAACTGACCAAATTATGAGGAAAAAGTACTAAACTAATTCTAATAATCTTGTTTTTCTGTCAGGAAGAAGATAACTGCTCTGACTCATCTTCAGCCAAGGACAGTAGAAAAGGAACAGATGGGGCTTGCGCTGCGTGCGCACTCAAAAAACAGCAGGGACACAAGATGCTAGAGCTCTGTCTAGACTGCCCCCCCTTGCACAAAAGATATGTAAATGTGACAAAGCATGGAATATTGTCGTGCCTCAATTGAATAATTAACAATGCTCCGTTTTTGCGCAAGAGGTTTTTGCATCTACATGGCTCCTTTTTGCGCAAAACGCCCTTCTTGCGCAAGAGCCATTCTTCCTCTTTTTTTCAGGAAGAATGGCTCTTGCAAAAGAGGAGTTTATTGCGCAAAAACAGAGCCTCAATTATGCAAATGAGGCATGGCAATATTCCACACTTCACCTCATTTGCATATTTTTTGCGCAAAACGGGGGCAGTGTAGACCTAGCCTCGGTGTGCAGGCATGACACATGGGGCACTGCTCACCAAAACTCTCTGATCAGAGGTGAAAGGATACACCGAGTCCTGAGTGGAACACCCACAGGCACACCACTCACTGAAGAACACTTGTATTATGAGAATATCTAGAAGCCACGAGCAGACTAAGATTCATTGTACTAGACAACATGCAAACAAAAGGTATAGCCCATACTTCACAGAACTTAAATTTAAAATGCTAACTTCTACCATGATGATTCAATTAATATTTTAGGGCCTCACACTTAATCCTTTGAATATTAAACATTATTCCAAGAGTATTGACAACAAAAATCATAAATTAATGCTTTTCCATTTCATGGGAAAAGGGCTTTGATGCACAGTACAAGCCACAGAACTTCAGAAAGAGAAGCTTGGCTCAAATACTAAGCCTATGCACAAATGTTCACCAATTATCTAGGTACATACATGCCTTCTTGATGCACATCCCAACTCAGTTACACATAAAACAAGTACATTGTCATTTTGAAAGACTACATAGCTATACACAAAGTATTTATTAGTGCAGGAGAGGGATTCAGTTTGCTAGCTAGTTATTAATCCAAGAAAAATTTACTGATTTATACACTTCATCTCATTGAGCAAACAGATTCTATTAATGCACAAATAAAACGACAGATAAAAAACAAAATTGCTTTTTTAAGAATGAAGTTAAGAGTATGTGTGCGTGTGTATAAGAGGCTCCATATTTCACATATAAACAAATTAATATTTTGGACTGTTCATATTTTACACTTTCTATACACTTAGAAAAATATTTTAAAGTATTACTTACCAGGATTGTGATGAGTCACAGATTCTCCATTTTGAAAGACATCACCAGCCACATTCATTCTACCAGGATTGAAAGGTCCTACACCAGTCTTGGTCTGTGAAGTTAAAGATGGGGTGTATGTTTGTATATTAACACCAAAATTACTTGACTGCAGTCCGTTAGACACATCTCCCAAGTTGGTATTCTGCAGTGATGTTACATGTGTAATCATTAAGTTCATGTCACGCCCTTCAGTATTTTCTAAATGACCATCATTCACAGAGCTCATACCTGTTTCTAATGTGGTAACATTAGCAATCTGAATTTCAGAGTCTGGTTCTGTGGTTATACCACTATTACCTATTCCTGCATTTACCTTACTTCTTGAAAAACTGGAAGCTGAGAATTCCATATCGCTGGATCTGTTTTTACACTCTGGAAGTCTTCGTTCATTAAAACTGGAAACATTCTTCTCTTGTCCTTGATTTGTTTCAATATCTTCTTCATCATCAATAATAATAGTCTCACTTATACTTCCCTTTTGAGAACTTAAGTCTTTTGAAGGAGGAAGCATTTTGGAATCATTTCCTTGAAGCTCTTCGCTTTTTGATGAAATAAATGTAATGTTTCTCTGATCTGATATTAGTAATGAAGTTGGTGGAGGTTGTATAGGTTCAATAAAAACAACATCATCATCATCTTCTATAGATGAGTTTTGGAATTTATTAGGTCTAGAAACTAGACTATTAGCCGGACCTCCAAAAGTATTTCCTATATTTGCAAGACCAGTTGCCATGGCAGTAGTTCCTAGTAAACCAGAAGTATGTTCAGAGCGATCTAATCCTCCGAGAGAACTTCTATCCATTCCAGATAAGCTGTTTTGTAAGTAAAAGAGAAACAAAAGTAATGTAGTTACAAGATTTAACTTCTTTACATGCCAAGTATTACATTAAATTTAAAGTGTCTAATTTACTTATTTTCTCTTAACTAGATCCTTAAATGTTGGCAACATCAATAGAATTCAGCAGAATTGTCAGTTTTTTGTTGCCATTTAACACATAAGCTTCCCACCCCCATAACCCACACTTCTCTTGAATGCACAATACGTCAAACTGCATTGTTTCCACTCAACTGCAAGGTAAGATCAAGAGCATGGATATTTGAAGTTTTTATTCCTCTTAAAGTGGTAGGAAAACCATCTCAACATCAAATGCACAAATTATGTGCTTAATAAAGGAATTACTTTATACGGACTAATGCTCTCAAGGTGTAGGCTAACCAAGACTACTTAATAGTCTGAATTAGAAGTACAACCTCCATCACACATTTCCAGCCCAGCTGAAGTGTGGTGAAGGAATGCAAAGAGGGAAAGGAGTCTTGGGATAGCTGAAAGCTCAGGAGAAGGGATGTACCATCTGTTACGGAAAAAGGAAAATGTTGACTAACAGCCTTCAACTCTGTCCACTGCAAGAGAGCAGTGAAACAAGGCTCATTTGAGGTCCTGGCTCCTTTAAAATTCTTGAAAAATTGTAAAAGATTCACTTTTTAATCTCCTCTCTTCTCTACATCAGATGCTGCTGAAGGTTCCTTCATCCACTACTCATCCAGCACATGGTTGTTTTCAGATGGTTAATCTGGGGTTTTGGGAAGTATGCTGGGGTTTTTATTCTTGTGGATACTGGCATGACAACATTAATATTTTTAATATGCCAAATAAAATTTCATCCCTAGATATTTGCTTATTATCATATAAGATTATATATTTAATCAGGACCAATGGAAAGGACAAAATAGAAACAGGAAGTAAATGAAGTGCATTGGTGATGCTGCAGGCACTAAGGATATAAAGATAACTGCATGATACTCGAACACATACCTGAATTTGCATGTGTTATACCATCAAATCTCTGTGTGTATTTAATGACAGAAGATTAGTATAAGTCTGGAAAAATGTCATTGTGGGTTTCTACAAATAATCTTTTTTAAAAGAACGGAGGGGAGAATTTCCCCTCCAATACTCACCCATCCAGAAATCCACTGCAGCCTGTTTACCTTAATAAGTTGCTCCAAGTGCTCCAATGTAGAGTCAATTCCTCTTATACCAATTAACCTAGTGCCCTTGTTTGAAATTCCCTGAAATAGAGTCAAAAAGAAATTCATGTGACCCTTGCACATATAACAAGGTTTCCAATATCCAAAGTCTTACTAACCAGGATAACAAATCTGTTTCCTTCACACCAGAAGAGAGTTTAGACAGACTTCTAAAGTAACGTCATCCTTCTGTATGAGAGATGCTCTCCAGCTCATAGTATTTATAATTATTTGTGTTCTCGGTGGGTAATGCACTATTAACTGTGCAATCACATAATGCTAACATACGGCACTAATATCAGTTTAATGTTCCTGGATGATGAGATTGTCCTGGCCAAGAGATGGAAACTGAAGGGCAATCTCTCCTAAAAGGTGGTCATTCCAGATTCTATACTAGTGCAACAGTTTGTACTTGGAGAGCTTTTTAGTTGATCCTAGATAGATACATGGACACATTCACTAAAAGCAGGTTAAGAGGACTGAAATTATTTTCAGCAAAGGGTGCTAAAATTCAAGCAGCTATCAGGGCAAATCTACATTTAAAATCCTGCAGTGGCTGCTGTATCACAGCCTCCATAAGAGGTGGTAGCTATGTCAACTGCAGAAGCTCTCTCACTGATGAAGCACTGTTTATGTGGGCGTTAGGTCGGTATAGCTCTGTTGGGGAGGTGTGTGGATTATTTACATCCGAGAGTGACGTATTTGTACCAACAGAAATTTGTAGTACAGTAAAACTCCAATGGTCCGGCATCTGACGGTCCGACACTCCTGATGATCCGGCACCATCAGGAACCCGGAAGTGCTCCGGGCAGCCAGACCATTGAAGTTGCTCTGCCCCGAGCTTCCCCTATTCAGCCACTGCTAAAACTGACCAGTGGCTGAATCGGGGAAGCCCTTGGAGGCAGAGCAGCTGGGGCGCTGCCCCTCGGGGCTGCGGGACCAACCGAGCAGCACCCCAGCTGTCCCCGATTCAGCCGCTGCTGCAACTGACCAGCGGCTGACTACAGGAAGCCCGAGGCAGAGTTGCTCTGCCCTGGGCTGCCTGGAATCAGCCGCTGATCAGTTTCAACAGCAGCTGAATCTGGACGCCTAGGACAGAGCAGCTGGGGCGTTGGCTGGGTAGGTCCGCGTCTTTGCTCCTCGTGGAATGAGGAGTAATGGTAGGTTGGACTAGG